GGGTCCGTGGAAAAGGTTCAGAAACTCTGGTATGACTGTATTCTTCATCAAGCGAAGCATCAGAGACAGCTACTATCAATGCCAGTGGACACTACGGCAGGCATCATTCTTGTAAGAGGGGCTGGTGACTCCAGGCTTGATGGATCTGCAGTCTGTGCTAGTGGAGGCAGTCGAAGGAAGAGATTCCAATTCTGCTGACATCAAAGTTACTCAGAACCACATAGCCCCATGCCACTGCTGGAAATGTCAATACAGGGCAATGGCCAGAGGACGTTGGGCTCTTAACAGGACAATTTCTACGTAACCAGAAGGTCTACTTGAAGCTACCAGGTCTCGGAACAGGCAGGACAAAGAGAAGATGGTTAAGCAGTTTCCTTAAGCGTAGGAACCTTGTTTCTGAAATCATGTTTGAGTTCATGCTCAAAGTCTTCTCAGGTACAGAAGGGAATCAAAGGCCTGTTCGATTGGGAAGCAGCGCCTTTGACACAGCCCCCTATGGACTCCTATACTCTGGAGTTAGAGGCTGGCTTCATGGACTTGCCCAAGCAGCTAATACAGAGCCTGATCCTGCAGCTCTCCCCTAGCCTGGGAAGTTAACAAAATGTTTGAAACAGAGCACTTCTAGAAGTATGGAGCACCCCCCAAGGAATACCGGCATAAAACTTGCTCATCTATCACAGACAGCACCACTGCTAAATCAGAAGTCTTAAAACTCAGGTATCTGGAAGAAACCATGATAACTGGCCAAAAGAGACTTTAAGACTTACTGTAATTTTAACAATAAGATTTAAGGTGAAAACATAGGCCTTGCCAGACTGAAGTGCCATGAAACACAGATTCAGAAAAACAGCCCTGGGAAAGACAGAGAATGAGGGGGAGGGAAAACAGCAAGGCCAGTGAGAGCAATAAGGGAAGTGGAAGGGAAAAGGTGGGGGAAGAGAGGAGATCCATCTTGAGCTGATGTGGTTGGAAGGAGCTGGGAAGCAGGAATTATGTGCTGTCCTTTGAAGCTCTGGCAGCTGATTTCCTTTTTATACCTCATCATAGAAAATTATATGCATGACTGAAGTCACAGCCGACTCCCTCAATACCACACATCTAAATTCCAAAATGCCAACGCATAACATCTGCAAGCCCCCCCAAGTAAAATCAACGATGACCTCTGTTGGTACAAAGCAAGCTTGGGATATTTGGGGAAAAAGGTAAAACAAATGACACACCCTAAAGCCTGAGCAGAGGCAAGTTTCATATTTAGTTTTGATCACTCAGACTTAATCTGAAGAGACTGTCTTTTTGAGACAGTTTCCTAGTTCTCAAAATAAGCGTTGTATCATGCGATACTATACCCAATAGTTCAAGCAGGGGTAAGTCTCCCATGAATGTTATTGTCTTCATTCAGATTATTTCAAACTGGGCACATTTACATGAGACATTTACTGCAAAGCTGCCTAATTAGCTCTGCAGTAAAGTCTAGGCGTCTACACATGCTGCCCTATTAGGCTGCAGAAAACTAACACACCACTGTAGGTTACTACTTGTGAAATACAAGCACTATTCTGCGGCGGCATTATTTACTGAGCTGCAGCAACATGTAGACATTGGCTGGGGTGGCTGGGGCATGAGGGTACTTCAGCGCGGGTCTGCCTGACAGCTAGTCCTGCACTGAAGCACTCTTGTGCCCCAGCCAGGCCCTCCGCAGTATGTTAAGCCGGGTCAGAGCACTCCTGGGCTGGCAGGCTGACTCCCCGGGTCCCCTGCCAGCTGGGGCTGCTCTGACCCACTTCAGTGCGCGGTGATCACAGGCACACGTGTAAACACAGCACCCAGAGGAAATAACCTCCAGCGTGACATGCACTGGAGTTTATTGTTTTGCAGAACTGCATGCATCACTGCACTCACAGACTACTTATCTTTCTCGTTACATGAGCACCCCACCTGTATGTACATGCTAACTTAACTAGCAGAATCAGTCTGAAGTAAAAAGGTAAGAGGGATTTCAATTAGCTATTCTGTTTTCATAAGCTGGACCCACCAATCCAGCTTCAGTTTTCACTGACTTCATAAAAACTGGATCAGGCCTTATGTTAATGAGACAGACTGTGAATTTAACTACTTCTGAAGTGCTGAGTTTAAAGAGAGGAGACCAGCCAGTGGAACAGTGCTTTTCTGCATCTTAGAACATTTTAAAAATGCACCATGATGAAGTTGCTCATTAATCATCTCCCACCAAAATTAGAGTTGCAGAAGAGAGAATTTTGTTTCCCAAAAATCAGCTTTGTACTTTCATAAACACCAAACACAAAAGTCAGATCATCAAGAGCAAGACTTCACAATATGATAGCCAGAAAAAGGTTACAATTTTTCCTATTAGTCAATGAGCCAGGCCAAACAACAAAAATCACAACATTGTATATTTTATTTAAATTAACGAATCTACATTTTTCCAGGTTGCTTAAAGCATTTTGTAAAAAGTGAACACATCCTAAACAAAACCAAACACAAAAAGAAAACACATTTTAATAAGACCCATGGACTGGTTCTGGGACATATAAGTAGGGATAAGTAGTTATGCAAACAGAAAAAGATATCTACATCGTAACAGACTTGTTAGTGTGAGACGCACAAGATTTGGTTTTAAAGCTGCAATGCCCCTTTGTGTAAAGAACCTTTACAAAATACAAATGTTACACTAAGCTATAAAAGAATTCATGAAGGCATTTATTCAAAGTACATAAATATTACATAAAAATCTGTTAAAAAGAATGTTCAAGTGGCAAAGTCAAACATTCAAAAATTACAAAAAGTTACACGTACAGTTGCCTGGGTAACCTTAATTTGGTGTCCTTTTGCATATGCATAATGATACTAATCAATTACATTGCTGAACACTACTTTTCTCTACAGGAACCGTACTTCTTAATATGTTATCATCCTCTTTTGAAAGTGTAGTCCTTCCTGGAGACAAATGAACCTAGCACTAGGTGAAAATTAATTTGTTTCTGGGTGTTCCTATACTGTTAGCCATAGTAGCCAACACAAACACTGCAACTATAGATAAACTTCGCCTCCATTTTACAGATGGGAGACTGAGGCACAGAAGTTATGGCTACAACTGTCAAAAGCCTTTGATAATTCTGGATGCCCAAACTGAGATCTAAAGCCTGATTAGGATTATTTAGCATTTTTCTACTAGCCCTTGTGCCTAAAGCACAGCCATGTTTGACTTCAGTTGGAGCTGTTCAGTGCAGAACACGTTTGCAAATATGGTCCCAGGTGGAACAAGGGACATCACGAACGACAGTGGTTCTATACACAAGGACATTCTTCACTACACATCCTCGATTCATCCACAGAGCATGTACTGTCCTATGCTTCACTGAGGCAAGACTCCTGCAGGAAAACAATTATACTGACCACGCAGCTGAAGACAGTATTCTAATAAGACAGCATCTAAAGAGTGCTGCATTAAGGTTACACAGGCAACCTTCATCACCGCATTTCCTAGCTTCTGAGTGCTTGACTTGGTAACCTCAGTGTTCTCCTAACAGGATGCACACGCATGTGCACGCCTTCACTTTCCCAGAATTCAAAAATAATTGGGGGAAAAAAAAAGTTTTACATGAAGAACTTTCTACAAAAGTTATCAGCAAATTTGGAACCTTTATACACGGGCTGTGGGAGGGCAGGGGGTGCTTTAATAAAAGTGGCTCCAAGCGCTGCACTAATTAAAGCGCCTAGAGCATCTCATGCATCAACATCCCTGCCCTTAAAAATCATGGCGGGGGTGCTTTAACTAAAGGTCATTCAATGAGCTTTAGTTAAAAGTGCCCCCACTGCCCTTTTTAAGTATGGGGACGTGAATACATGAGATGCTGGAGTCTGCTGGAGTGTGGTAATTACCACACTCCAGCAGACCTGATTAATCAAGTCTGCTCTAACATATTGTAATTACAGCGCGTTGGAGCAGCCTCACTGCTTGTGTATAGGCACCCTTTAATTTCAAAATTCAAATCTCTGCCATTTGAGGAAGTGACAGCAGTAGTAGATGGTCATCTAGGTGGCCCAAGCCTGAAGGGTGAGTGAGCATTATTAGCCAGAGGATCTCATAGCTGCTTCCTGACAGCAGAGGAATGCAACACTCCAGGTTGAGGGTCATGTGCTCCAGCAGGCACAGACCTGTCCATGGCTGCCACCCCACCCCGATTCTTATCCCCTGCTCACCAACCCTATTTCATCTTTGCATCCCTCTGCTTCAGACACTTTTGCCCAGTCCCCTCCTCCCAGCCATCTTTTCCCCACTTACTGCTCCCATAAGTTCTGAAAAAACAGAGCTCTTGTATGGACACTAGTTGAAATGGGGCAGCGAGATTCTCCAACAACACGCCTCTGCCCCTGGAGCTGCAGGGGCTAAAGAGGACCTTGCTGCATTATTCCTCCCAGCTTCTACAGGTGGCTCTGAGGTCAGGTCTAGGAGCAGAGAGACTGTCACCCCTTCACTCCCTGCTGGCACCTAGACATCACAGAAGTGAATAAGCCACACTGGAATATAGCAGCAAGAAGCCAGTTGGGGGAAAACCAGAAAGGGTTAGGGTTAAAGGAGCCAGAAAAGGTTGGGAAAGTGCAGTGAAAAGGATGGGAGTGAGGGGGCAGTTACTGGCAAAGCTTCCTAGTAGCCAGTCCACATACAGGACAACAACCTACTCCCCCTGTTGCCAAATGCCCTTAGCTCAAAGTCACACAAATCTAAAGCCCTGAATGTGGCTGATGATTCAATTCTGAGGGTCAATATGCCTACATAACAATGTAACTTAATGTATGTCATTGCTTTCAGTTTGAGATTATTCAAGTAAGACACTGCACAAAGAACAATACTCTGTGCATGGATTTGGCAGGGGCTGGGCTGAGGTGTAGAAGGGCGGGAGCAAAATGTGACCACCTCGTGATGCATACACACAGGGGGGCCAAATTAAGGCTGCACAGACCAGCTGAGCTCTGGTACCTCTTAACTTTTGAATGTCGACTTTGTAACCTTAGAGTTTTTCTAGCATAGCTGCGTGTGCAGTAGAGAATACATATCCCTCCCCTCAGTATAACTACACCATATTAAAAGAAAGTTTACAAATGTTCTATTGAGTGCCACTGCTCTGTGAAAATATGCTATAAATACTGGGCATTTTTACAGTGAGTTATTTCAGACATGGTTCATCAAGAAAGATACCGCATCATCCTGGCTACTTGTACTTCACTTTGTCTGCAAGCTGAGGTGTTCTTGGAGTTATTCCTGGGCCTCCTTCCGAGCCAGTTTGTAAACTTCTGTTGGTCCATCAACGTGGGTGATGGTGGTGGTGAGCTGCAGCTCTTCCCCACTGTTCACTCCCAGGTCACCTGAAAGACAAAGAGGTGTTTTAGACTGATGTGCAGAAAAAAGGCTGGACACTTAAACCACAACAGTCAGGTCCCATTGCCCCCAAGCTTTGAATATGGAAACAATAAAGCTTTTCTGAAGTTAAGGACATTAGTGCTTTAACCAGTTTAAAACAGGGTGGACAAAAATCTACTATTAAAAAATATGTGATTTATTTATTTTTGTTAAGATACTTTAAAAAAGCAACTTATATAAAGATAGTTTTAATTTAAGCTATAACAAACTGAAAAAATTCAAATGTCTAGTATGCAGCTTTGTTGCGGACAATGCTACAAATATATCAAAGATGAGAAGAAAGTGAAGAAAGCCTTAAGCTAATGACATACGGCTGCAGTGCTCATTTGATGCAACTCTTAGCCAAAGACTTCAATACTCCAGGAATAAAAGAAAATGTTGTTGAAATTGCAAAATGCTTTTGTAACAACCATGTTGCAGCAGCTTCTCTGAAGAAAGCAAGAGAAACCAAACTAACTCTCCCACAAAACGTGCAATGGAGCTCAGTAGCAGACTGTTTTGAGAGAGATATTGAGAATTGGCCTAATCTGATGACAATTTATGAACAAAATCATGACAAAATAGATGGACCCGTCATAGCCAAAGTTCTCAGCATTGGGCTAAAGAGAAATGTAGAACATATGCTGACTATCCTGAAGCCTATTTCCATAGCCTTGACCAAAGTATAGGGAAATCGCTGTTTTATGGCTGATGCTGTTGAAACTTGGAAGGAACTGAGTAAGACCTTGAAAAGAGAAATATGCAGTGACAGAGTTAAATTACAGGGATTAAAAAACAAATGAATCAAGCACCATCTCTAGCTCTTTTTTGCCAATATTCTCAATACTTGGTATCTGTGTTAATCTTTAACTACTAAAGAAGAGGGGCTGGCTATGACATGAGCATCCAACAATCATCCCTCCATAATACCAGCTACAATAAATGTCAGGGCTAAGGGTGAACCATTCAAGAAATACGTTTGCTGATGAGGTTTAAAAGAACGTTACACCAGTGAACTCATAGAAGTCACTTAAGCACTTGGATCCATCAGAAACTACTGAAGTGATAACCCAGCTTTCAACAGCAGTAGCTTTTTCTGCAGGTGTAGAAAGAATATTTTCTTCCTTTTAGACTAATTAATTCTAAATTGAGAAATTGCTTGGGAACTGAAAAAGCAGGAAAGCTTGTCTTTCTTTTCCAGTTTATGAACAAACAGGAAGAGGAAGGCAAAGGCTAAGTTTGCTGCGTAACCCAGTATTTTAGGTTAAGGGGTCAAACCCAGACAGAGTAAGTGGAAGGGTCTGTATCGTATTGGTGGGAGGTGGCCAGTGGTGTCCTGCAGGGTTGGTTCTTGGCCCCTTACTGTTCAACATCTTTATCAACAATTTAGATGAGCATGCGGAAAGCATGCTGGCCAAGTTTGTGGACAATATTAAGTTATGGGGAAAAGCAGTCACACTAGGGGACAGGATGCAGATCCAAGTGGGCCTGGACAAGCTGGAAAGGTGGGCAGAGTGGAACTGGATGCAGTTTAGTAAGGATAAATGCAGAATGCTTCATCTGGGGAGAAGCAGCCAGCTACCTGAAATTAGGTTAGGAGATGTCCAGGCTAGCATGATGGCTGAAAGGGACCTTGGGGTTATGGTTGATCACAGGATGAACATGAGCTGTCAGTGCAACACTGTAGTCAAGAGAGCAAGTAGCACACTGGGATACATTAGCTGATGTGTTGCGAGCAGGGCTCCTCTCTACTTGGTGCTGGTGACACCCCAGCTGGAGTACTGTGTCCAGTTCTGGGCACCACACTTCAAAAGATGTGGAGGATCTTGAAAGGGTCCAGAGAAGGGCCACAAGGTTAAGGACCTAGAGGACAAACATTATGAGGAAAGACTAAGGGATCTGGGACTGTTCAGCCTGGGGGAAGAGAAGAATGAGGGGGACTTGGCGCCATCTATAAGTATGTAAGGGGTGAATATCAGGGGCTGGGAGAAAAACTTCACTAGGGTGCTTCAGGGGAGGACAAGGAACAATGGCCATAAACTGTTAGAGGATGGTTTCAGGTTGGATTCAAGGAAGAATTTTTTTTACAGTAAGGGTGACCAGAATCTGGAGTGGACTTCCCAAGGAGGGGGTGCAGTCCCCAACCTTGAGACTGGACAAACACCTTGCTGGGATCATTTGATCTCAGCAGTATTCCTGTCCAGAGCAGGGGGGTTGGACATAATGATCTTTTGAGGCCCCTTCTGACCCTTAATTTCTATGACTGTGTGACGCAAGTTTGTTGTGGAAGAAAAATATCCAAAATACATAAGCTTGTTGTTTTACTTAAATAAAACAATTTAAATGTCATAATTCAGTTTTTCACTGTAACTGCAAAATTAATCTGAAAAGACAGCAAAATAAATAATTGCTTTAAAATATATAGGCTGTACCTTCTAAAAATGAAACCTACATCTATCTCTGAGTTGTGAGTAATATGTATTAAGGTTATATCAAACAAGAATGAACTTTCTTGTAGAAAACAATGATTAAATTGAGGCTTCCTGACCAGTGATTGAAATCATTTGATTTAAATCATTTTGATTTAAATCAAATTCACCCTGGTTTAAAACCACTTTAAGAGTAAGCAGACAGATGACAGACAATCTAGTACAACTGGCCCAAAGAGCATTAACAAAAAAATGAAGCCACCCTGGCTGAAACATGGATAACTCTGAAGTGCTTCAAGCTACATTTGTCCTCCCTCTGAAGTGTGATAAGGAGCTAGACAGCCAAGCAGCATCCCATAGCACATTGCTTCCTGACTTGCCTTCCTCTCCATTTCATCCTCTGAGATTCACTCCCAACTCAACTATCTTGGGGTCACAGGCCCTGCTTGTCACCTGAGCTTAAGTGCTAGGGCAAAGGCACGCCATACCAGCATTCTTTTGGACCATGGCCCTGGACATTTGGCTTCTGAGACGGGCACAAATACTTCCAAGTGTCCACTCACCCACCACCACAAGAGAATGCTGGGTCTACAAAAACCTCCACTAGAAAATATCCAGTCGACCCTCGTAAAGAGAGGGGTCAAAACGATTTACAAGCAGGCTGAGGCAGAGATGATAGTTTGCAGGCACAACCAGGACTGACAGCACTGGACCCAGGTGAAAGGCCTGAAGGCATGATACAAGAAATCTTGTGAAGCCAAATGTTTTGAGTTCCTGGCAGGTGACATGCGCATACTATATATGAGCAGTTTTCCTAGATCCTTGCTAGGCACAAATTCACCAAGTCCTACTCCATTGCAAACTCTGGGATGGATTGAGGGTCATCCAATGCAGACTAAGACCACCGTGAGAAAGCACCAGCCAAAGCCCTGGACTACAAGCAATCCCCAGTAAGGCCCTGAGGAGTACCTCCTTTTATTCAGGACTGCTGAGCAGATGTACAAGCCATTGGGACTGGACAGCTCAGATGACACCAATACCCAGGAAAGACAAGCTGACCATTCAGCCACTTCTCACCAATCTAACTTCTTGATCTTTCAGTATCTAGGGCCCAGCTGCCTAAAGGGAGCATCTCCTGGAGAGGTTGCTTCAGCCTCAGTCTGATCCATCTTCCTTTATGCCAATCACTGGCCTGCTAGACCCTCCCAGTCTCTAAAGACTGTCCTTCCTATCACCTGCTATAGGACGCCCCTCCACAGGGAGATCATGCTGGCCATAAGAATGCAAAAACTTTGTTGGGAGTTCACAATGGACCAAATAAGACATTTTACAGACTCCCTGATCTGTTTATTCTCTTTTCAGGGTCAACACCAGCAGCTACTGCTGCTGCTATTGAGATTCAAGGTTACAACTTAAAACTGGAGCTCAGCAAGTATCCAGGCTGAGGAGAAACAGGAGCAAGGAGATGTTTGCAGACCTAGTTGCATTACAAGGGAGAGCAGTGGCTGCAGAGGGCTAATGTGCTCAGATGGAGTATCACCAAGACTGCTGTGCTGACCTGGTCAGGAGAGGGATGTGCCAGCTCAGGCACAACAATGTTGAGAACACCAGGGAGGATACAGACATGGTGAGGAAGACTATGGAGATGCAAATGGAAAAAATCAAAGGGCAAACACAACAGTCCCTCATAGCCACCCTCAACTGGCACACACAGTGCGTCCAAGTGCCCCTATACTTTCTTCCATGGGCTCAGGCTTATCCCTCCATGTCTAAGGACAGCCCTTCATGCTCTAAGACTTCCATACCCTCATTGAAGATATCTTCATGATGCATATAGTTTCTCCCACCTGTACTGTCAGCAGGCTCTGACTCTTCCTCTTCAACAAAAATCCTCAGCCCACCCCTGCCTTGGGCCAGCCCTACTATATCCTCATGCCAACAGTTATGCAGGATGCCTTGGGGAAGTACAAGGTGGGACACCACCCCTCAACCTTTCAGAGACTCTGCCACTACTCGTGGAGAAAAAGCAGCATGATAAAGAACTCCAGGCCCTTTGATCCCTTGTCTGTGGGGGATGTGGTGACTCTGGGCTTCCCTTATCTTCAAGGTGCCTTCCCCCTTTTTACAGTTGACAAATTGCTCCTACCATAATGTACCTGATTGCAAAGCACTTTGTTTCAACACAGAGCCTTTGACTATCTAATCTTTATTAAAGGAGCCTCAGGTCCTGGCCTCCAGAGATTATGCAGCAAGCTGCCCAAAATGATCATCCTGCAAGTACAACCCACTGGTGTCCAGTGTACCATCCACCATGCCTTGAGATGCCCCAAAAGCACACTCTGCAGTTGTCCACACCTGCTTGACTGTAATAAAGATTTTCTGCCTGGCATCCAGCATAAATTTTATGAGCCACAGAAAAGGCTGGTACAATCAGGACCAGAAATCACAGGGGAGTGAGGCATCTTCTATATCCCTATGCTAGTGGTGCCGCAGACAAACTTTCCCCATCTCATCGGGGGACCAGGGGCACCAGGCTGGATTTCCTGAAGACCCAGACATTGCAGACCTTGTCTTACCCAGTTCAGTCCATATATGTGAAAGCAGTAATCACATGTATGGACTGAACCCAGTGGTCTGTGATGCCTTGCAGTCCAATAGAGACGTACTCCAGTGGCGACATGTAGGAGATGCATTGTGCACCCCCGAGAGCGCTGGTGCAGCCCAACAGGCAGTTCTCCCCACTTAGGTGGCGGGCAGAGGGGGCAGGCGGGAGCGGTGTTCCCCCTGCAAGCACTGGCTTGGGAATGGGGGCACTGGGTGAAGCACCACTGACGCTTCTGGGAGCGCCACTAGCACTTCCCAGGCAGCGTGGTTGGCCACGGGGGGACCCCCTCCCCCAGTCGCTGACTGGCTGCTGGGGAGGGGAGGGACATGTCCCTTCCCCCCCCCCTCCCGACTCAGGTGGCACCAGTCGCCCATAAAGGAAGGACTCCTTGCTATTTACATAGTTCAAGCCATATGATACTTGACACAAGATAGCAACGTGCATGATATTGATGGTCCTGAGGCAGTTTGGAAACTCCATGTAGGTAAATCCAGCTACTTCTCGTAGGTTGGAGAGCCAGGCAGTACTACCTTCTGGAGGATGTGGTTCACCCACCATGGGTACACGAGCCATGGGTTTGCCCACTGAAGTGACTGGAAACAGACAAGGAGTTGTCAGGGGTTTCCAGCTTCAAGAGGGCAATTACCATCTACTTCTCCCTGTTCACGGGTATTCTCAGTATGGTGCTTTTCCTCTAGTGACCTGAGGAAGGGAGCAGTGGTCCATCCTTCTGCTTCTACTGCTTCTCATCCCAGGTCCACTTCAACCAGTCACTGACTCTCCGACTCAGAAGCAAGTCGCAAATGGTCCTAGAAAAGGCCATCCCACACTGTGTTCTTTAGTTCTCCTTCTGGAGCTAGTTTTCTCAGACTCATACAAGCCAGAAAACAGCTCGAGGAAGCATTTTTCCAGTGCCTGGGTCATTGGGCCTGCCCTGCCATGCTACAACACACCAGCTGGCAGAGCCGTTCAAAGAGGATAGAATGAAGCAGGCAATTATTTTGGGCAGAGCGCCACTTACTGAGTTTTGGCAAGCTGTTGAGGGCTGCATGGGTAGCCCTGCCCCTTGACAGGTGCCTGTTCCCCCCCCAGTCTTGCCATCTTGGGACCAGAAGTCCTGCCCCTAACCTCTGACCTTTGCCACCAGAAGCGGCATCCTTTGGGAAAGAGGGATTGCCATCTTAGAAGAGGAAAAAACCCAAATTCTATACTAAAAATCAAATACCCATAATAATATATTTTAATTTAATTTGTCTGGATGTGTACATGTTTGTGCTGTATGTGTAGAAGAGACTTCATAATAGTTGAAAATGCAGTCTTACTCTTGTATGTTGTGTGCAGGGTGTTGTGGGGTATGGGTATGGTATTTGTGGGGTGTGAGATTGTGTGGGGGGGGTGGGCTTTGCTGCTTCTGGGTCCTGCTGTGGCTTCCCCTAGGGTACTACTGCCCCTGGCTCCTGTCATATTTGGGAGCCAGGGGAAGATATATATTAATTTTCTAATTTTTTTAGGGGCCCCGCAGGCTGGATAGAATGGCCTGGTGGGCCGGATCCAGCCTGTGGGCCATAATTTGCCCACCCTTGGGACAGAAAGAATATCCAGGTAGACACAGGCTCTTTGCTGTGTGTTGAAGATTGGAGCCAGTACCCTCACCGTGATGCTCAAAGACTAAGGGCTAAAGAGATGATAGCTACCCATCCCCGCTTTGCACCTGCACTAGGAATGTAACCGAGGTAAAACTGACTAGCCCTGCAACTGCAGGAAGCACAAACCAAGAGCCTGAAGGTCAAATGTCCAGAAGGCTTTGCAATTTCTCCTGGAAACTTTCAAAGGCAGCCAAAGGATCATGGTCACGAGCTGCTGGGCTCTGCTCACCAGTTCCATAGCAGCAGAGCAGCACGACACCAGCACCAGCTCCAGCAGCGTGACACTTCAGCTGGGAGTAGGGGTGTACGTCTATACACTACTGATGTACTCAGAATTAAAAGCATTTCAAATAAAGGTTGAATTTAAAGCAATTTACATACATGTTTGTCCATACCCTTAAAAGGATCTCCACAAAAACTAGCATTCAAATCCATTAAAAAACCAGAATCCCTTGCAATGCCCTCAGTTTAAGCAAAGCTAAAGTCAGAGAACCACTTTGCTACTGAAGGATAATTAAAGGTGAAATCAAAAGTAAAAATGAAATTGATAGTTCAAGTCTCAAAACATATTTCCATTTCTCCTTGCTTCATTCCTCTACTCCTTTCAAGCAGAACTGCCCCTCAAACACTAAACCACTAAAGCTGGTCAAATAAGCCCTGATTTCTGAACATGCCCCCAAACTGAAAAAAAGGTTTTCAAAAATCAGCAAATTGAAATAACTAGTTTTGACAAACTGTTTTATTTGATTTCTCATCATCACCTTAACATATAATACAATTTAAGGAAATTCTGTAATAAGACATTTCAAACATAATAAAAATGGGAAAAAGTGGTCTCAAAAGGTTCGCTCTCTGAAAGTCAGAACTCTGATTTTCCCTCCACAAAATTAAAATGCTGGCAAAAAAAAAAAGCGTGTACTTGTTACATGTCGTTTTCCACCAAATCTGCATGTCCTGCAGGGAAAACATGTGAGATCTCTGACCCAGGCTTATGCCCAATATTCTCCCCTGCCATTTTGCCTTTTTTTGTACATGCAACTGTTTCAAAATAATCAGACAGTCCAGTTTTACCATTTGATTGATCTTCACCATAATTCTTGTGTGACGGAGCATATAGGAACATAAGAGCAAAGACGTAAAGGTTCCACATCCCATAGATGCCTGTGAAGAAAGCACTGTTGGCTTGTATTGTGAGGTCTCCCCATTTCCAGTGGCCTTCTGTCACCTGCCCATAAGAAAGCAAAAATTCAATAGGGACAAGTAAGGGGAATTCTCTCATGTGGAAGCTCCAAGGAGACAAACAAAAAGGCTCTGAACAGAAAATACAAACAGACACGAAGTACACATTGGATACACACAAGTATATAAGTAAAGCCCATGCTATGGGTCTCTCTCTTGTCCCCCAACTACAACATCATTTATTAGACATCTCCCTTAATCTAAATTTGCTTCATAAGAAATGACAGATGTTATCTTAAGAACAATAGATCACTACAGTCACTGATGTTTTTAGGGAGAAGATGCTTATCAGGATACTACCTGGCAGACATCTAGTCATGTCTGAAACTTTACATGTCCATAAACCTTTATAGAAAGGATAAACAGCACAGACAATATGAGAGCTAAGGTGTTGTCTATCTTATGATGGGGACCTATTCCTAATAACGTCCACCCACAGATAGAGATAAGAGGTTCCAATGAGTTAAGAAACATTAAAAAATAATTATTTAATTTTCAAAAAGGTAATTTCAATAATCAGTATTGAGCACATTGAGCTGTGCACCTTCTATTGCTGCCCTCCACTTCTAAAATGAAGTTAACAAAGATGCTTAAGGGTCACAACAACTTTTAAGCACAACTCCCCCCTCAAAAAGAGTGGGGGAGCCTTGCTTTCTAGGAAAGCCATGGTAGAGCAACAGTCTTTACACAAGCAAAAATACCAAACTTGATAACAGTTGCTGGACAAAACTGTTTAATGCCCATACACACTGAAGTAAAACTATTAAGGTAAGTATGGGCTGGATGGTGAAACTAAGGTGGAATTAAGCCACTTGCTCTAGGTTTTTAGACCAGAATCATATGCTGCTATGTTCTCTTCCAGGACTTTTCATATAATGTAATCAGTGCAGTATGTCAGAGGATACTTCGCTACATGCAACTCACTAGAACAGTTCACAAGCATCAAAATAACCAGACTCATTTGGAGTTTGCAAGAACGCACCCATTGTAACCAAAGTCTTCAGTGCACACGTACATTTGGGCTTGCTACCTATGTAAAGGCAGATAGTGATCTTAACACAGGACCTGTCATTTTGAAAGCCTAAGAATCAGTCAGAGCAAGTGGAGTTATTCTCATACAGATACTCTGAGAAACCAAGAAGCCAAAGTGTTTTACTTGTGTGTCAGGCTATGTAATGGGCATGGCACAATAACTATTTTTAAAGTGATGAATCTATATAATGTAAATTATACACACACGTTGGATATATCCCAGCTTGGAGAGCAAAGGCATGCACGCACATTGCAGGAACACAAACTAGGTTAAAATCATTATGGCTACAAAAGTCAAGCACACAACATTTTTAAAAAGCTTGTGTTAATGGTGCCTATACTTTATATCCCATATGCATTTTTAGTCTTTAGTTGCATGATCTTACATTATCCGGTGGGGTAGGGTGGGGGAAAAGGGAACCCACTAACTAGAGTTACCAGGTAAGCTTATTTTCCTCATTCTCCGCCCCACCCATTAGTTTTTAAAAAGTGCAGGCAAAAGCTGTACCTCTTTTCAAACCATTTTAGCTGAAGTTATCCAAAATTATTCATCCCAGGCAGGCATGAAAAAGTTTAGCCTCCAAGTTGTAAACAATTAAAAACAGGTTCTCATAATGGGAAATGCAAGCCAGGGCAACCTTAAGAGGCTGCCAGCCGTGCCTAAAATGCATGCCTGTTCTCTCAAAATTAGGATAACCACACTGCCAGGCAACCTAGGAATCTGAAAGTGCACTCACCTGACTGACAATGAAGAAGATGACTGTCATTGCTGCACAAGCCAAAGTGATGAGCATCAGAAACTTAAACCTAAAAATCAGCCCCTATTTAAAGAGAAGTGTGCTTGGTCACAGGAACAAAATCCACACAACTACATTTTTGTAAACGGCCGAAATAAAGAAAAAAGCCCCAAATCAGAAAACCCACAACCAATCTCCACCCCACCCCCCTCCTATCTTGCACTGATACAACTAATATTTTTTCTTTTCAAAGAACTTCAGTTATGACCCCAGTAGACCCCAAATATATAGACATTGATATCTTTGGGCCATTATGTGTGCGCCCAGGGACCTCTGAGTTACTAATACTGATGGCCAAGGGCACTTTTTGAACATCTTTCCTCTGTGAGAATAATAGTCAGTGCTGTCTTCACATTCACAGAATACATCAGTCTCTCCATGTGAAGAATGAGGGTTCGGGAGAGCTAAGCAGCAAGTTAATCTGCTTCCCTTAGCGCAAGTTCACAACAACCTTGGGATGAGTCCTCCAAAATGCTTTGCTGGATAAGGTAGTGTGTGTAGGGACAGGGAGAAATGGGAGATATCCAGCTGTACCACAAATGCTTGGATTTCTCCCATTGGCCTTGCTGATGTACTTACTACCAAGGTAGCCATTTTCAAAGAAAATAGGAGAAGGCTCATTGCCATAGGTTTAAATTGCTCTCTCATCAGGAATGTGAAGACCAGATTTAAGTCTCAGTTAGACAGGGTCCTTTAACTGAGGGAAAACCCAAGATAAGCCCCTCAGGAACTTCAGGACTGTCAGATGACAACACACGCTGTCCCTCAGCTGGCAGGTGGAAAGCAGGCTGCTGCCAGATGCACCTACAGAGTTGATGGAAGGTCACTGTGTCAGGTCAGGAGTGTCAAACTCGCACTGTGCCCCAGGCTGGGTCCAGACTGCAGGACTGACAGCAGAGGTAGCAACTATGGTGGGGCAAATGGCCACGGGCCAGGGGGTCACTGCTGAGGTGAAGGCAGTGCAAGCAGCGGTGGGCCAAGTAGCAGCAAGGCAAGTGGGGCTATGTTGGCCCCCTGCCACCAAGGGGCATAACCACTGGGGCCCCAGGATCCACATTGTGGCAGGCTATGCCCACCACTAGCCATGCCGCTAAGTTCCACAGCCCACCAGCAGCTTGGCATGCCTGATAGAGCAGCACCATGTGGCTCACAAGTCATGTTTAACCCACTTTAAGCCTCAACAGAAAGGTATCTCTGCTCTCTCTGGAACAGACCACCTCGCAGAGGTAATATTTCTTGCCCAGAGCCAAGGCAAGAACCTGCTCCATCTTCCTCCTGGTGTGTACACCTGTTTGAATCTTTCTCACTATGGCAAGGACATCTTCAACCTGGGCAGAACATTTTTGCTCTATCTGCAAGAGCCATCTAGCATCCAAGCTGCGAGATGGAGACAGAGATCTGGGTGGAATGGATACCAATTCACAAAAGAACAAAAAAAAAAAAAAAAAAAAAAAAAAAAAAAAAAAAAAAAAAAAAGGTAGGATGGCTTTGACAGCATCAGACCACTAGCAAAATAGAAAGTCTTTAAAAATGTAAGGGAAAAGAAAAGCCAATACATTATGTTGCAGATACATTATTAGTAAACATGAGAAATCAGCATACTGAACACAAATATAATACACAGCATTTATCCAAATAGTGGCGTCTAACCTCATAATGAAGCCTGCGAGCCTTGCTCATTGCTGGGAGGCTGGATTGTTTCCCACTGATGTTTCTGAATACTTGAAAGACCATGAAACACAAGAACAGAAAGTAGAGGCAAAGGCAGATTCCTGCAACTATAATAAATGCCATCTGAGTGGTAGAGTTAAAGGAAACTGTACAGGACAGAGTGGGAGACTGAAGAACACAATACGTTTTTCAAGCACAATTATTCTAATTCAGGCTTCTAGCATATTAAACAAATTTCAAATTAAAGCTTCCACCTGAGTGACAGTGTTTTCTTACCAGTCCCCAGTGCCAGGAATGATGCTCTGTTGTTCCCAAGCACTTGACATAATATTAATGAGGGATAAAATATTAAAACTCCTGCAGGCTAAAAAGGCTAAGCTGGAATTGTCACTTCTGCTCCACTGCTACAAAGACATGGTGCTTGACTGAGATCCAGAGAAGTAATCACCAAACAAAATGCCATCTTACGAAGGACTTTGCACAAGGACTGCGATGCAGGGGAAGCAGAACTAATCACATTAGCTCGTCTCAGCCTGGTAATAAAAATTAATGGCAGTTGAAAGCACTTCCAACATGACCAAGTGATTTCAAAAAGCAATTCATATAAATGCTGTAGGAACATGTTCTCAAGAATCAGCAGTGAAACAACTTGCTCCAGAGAAAAACCTGCCAGGACAGGAAGGGTTTTCAGAGCAGGAGGGGAAACCATAAAGGGTACAGAGAATCGCATTTGCTCCAGGATTGCTCTGTAATAACACCCATATCTCAACGCCTGATGTGCTGTTTTCCAGATTCCTGATACCTTGCAGCTCAGGCTAATAATTTAATTTAGTGGTTCTCAACAGGGGATCTCTGAGAGCCTGTCAGGGGCTTTGTGCTGCTACAGCGTGGAATTGTCCCATGTGCCCTGGTTTTCAAAAGGCACGTGGAGCCAAACCAAGGAGCTGCAGCAGAAGTATTACATTATGACGGCAGGCACACCACTTCTGCTTTTGCTCTTCCTGGCCTGGCTTGTGCCAAGAAGCAGGGAGCAGCTAAAAGCAGAAGCAGCACAGCTGCCTGGATAATGTAACACTGCTGCGGTTTCTTCTCAGTTAGACTCCAAATGAATCCTGGAAACAGATGCCACTGCCACCAGGTAGAACCGACCCGTGTGCAGTGAGAGGTGCTCAGGACAATACAATCTGTCCCACACCCTTCTTTCTGGGAGACACCACATAGGGTCAGACCAGGAAGGACTGCAGCAAGAGCACACACTCCTGCTACAGACACTTCCCAATCTGACTCTGTGGGAGGTGCAAAGCACAGTTCCACCTGGCTACTGTGGCAGTGGCATATGATTATAAGGATTTAATCAGAAATGAATTAATAATTAGCAATGCAATTCTGTTTACAGTATAATGTTCATAACATTCGCTTTTTTTTTTCCAATGGGGTGCTGAAAAATGTTGAAAAGGTGTGGAGGGGTGCCTCAAATCTAAAAAGGCTGAGAATCACTGGTTTAATTACTTCCCTTCTCTTGAGACCAGTCTTTGAATTCATCTTTGCCCTGAGATCTTCCTGCAGTACTAATAAGCACCCTCCTAGAAAGCCACAGAATTGCTGATCCAAAGAATATTCAGATCTTCCACTAACATTAAAGTAATTTAGAACTGATTTACTGCTCTTCAGGTGTTTCAAACTGAATGGGCTTTTCAGCAGTTCAGCGTACTTGGGAAAATCATTTTTTTTAATTTTAGTTACTAAAATGTCTTTCCCAGTCTTAAGTGAGCAATACTCCTCAGAAATAAACGGAAGGATACAGCCAGCTCTGTGCCAACATCTGTTGTCCAGATACTGTAGAATGGATTTTTCAGCTGTACCCCTCTAGAAACAAGAGAATTTAAAAGCAATCAAAGATAACATCCCAAAAGCCAACATGTGCAATAAAATACGCAGTTTTAAGGATTTTACTTTGTAGTTTGGAAACTTCCAAGTGATGTTCTGTGATTTGGGTGTGTGTATATGGAAGAGATCATGAAAACTTTACAGTTTACCTTGCTTTAGTGGACACACAAAAGTTGTTCTAATACTTCAATATCAATGAAGTCTGTCTCTGTTAACTCTTAACAAGGTCAACCAAAAAGTCTGAACAGCTGCCACATTGTGGGATGGACTGTGTCTAGTTTGTTCAAATAACTTTTAACTGCTATGTAATGCATGGTACCAAAAACTCCCTTTCACATCATGTTTAAGATCCATGGTAATTCAGAAAGCTACTTGCTGGAAATGGGGATGAATATTATATGTCCACCCCATCCATATAAGGCAGAAAGAGAAGGTGACATTTTAGTATGTCAATACTGCAATATAGCAATACTGCAGCAAAAAGAAAGGGATGGCATTGTTTCTCAAGCCTAGTAGCTCACAATGGGTAAACAGGATTAAAGCTCCATCAAAAGAAAGAGAAGGACTATTTCCAGGGCCTTGTCATCCTAGGGTGATTTCCAAGGAAGCCTTCTGAATGTATACCCTTTGAACTGTGAGCCAAGAGATTTTACTGTCCTGTCATAACGTTACTATACTTTATTAACTTATACCTATGCTGCTAAGCAGGCAAACACACCCTTTATCTTATCTTTTACCCTCAATTTCAGTCATTTTCTCATAAAGTCAAGTGTGAAGTAATGCATTCTGAGTTGGAAGGGGGGAGTTAAATTGGGTTCATCTCAGAAGCTGAATTTTGTGCTTAGAGAAAATTGGGTTAAAAGTGAAATTCAGGCAACCCCCACTTAACGCTATTTCGATATGACACTCATTTTAAAATTGATATCTGATTCCACCTAGCACTCAGTGAGTTTTGTTATAAT